TTTACTGGCTCCATCCCCGCCTCCTTGACCTGTCCATCTTCTCTCCACCTATCTGCTCCTTTTATCCACCTTCCATCAATGCCTTCCCTTCCCCCCCCCCCCCCACCTTATTTATTTCAGAGTCCCTTTCCCCTCCCTCATTTCTGAAGAAGGGTCCAGACTCAAAACATCAGCTTTCCTGCTGTCTGGCCTGCTGTGTTCATCCAGCTCTACGTCTTGTTATCTCGGATTCTCCAGCATTGCCAGTTCCTACTATCTCTTAATTTGTTGTAGTTTGCTGTAACAAATACAGAGAATGCTGGATAAACTCAGCAGGTCTGACAGTATCCGTGGAGAGAGAAAGAGAGTTTGGCAGCCTGCTGAGTTTCTGCAGTATTCTGTGTTTGTTTCAGATTTCCAACATCCACGGTATTTAGCCTTTGCTATAGTTTGCTGTATACTGCATCCCTCCCCTTGAATAAAGGAGTACATTTGCTACTTGCAATTCTGATGGAACAGCTTCTGAATCTTGAGAAATTTAGAAAATTAACACAATGCATCTACGGTCTCATTCACTTCATCCTTCTACTTTAAAAGATAGTAATAAGGATCTGAGGACCTGTCAGTCCTCAGCTCCATCAGTTTGCTCTATACTATTTCCATTGTATTGTAATTTCACCAAGTTCCTCTGTCCTTTCCACCTTCAGATTTACAACTGTTACTGGAATTTTTGTTTTGTATCCTCTATGATGACAGAAGCAAAATATTTGTTCATTTCATCTGCCATTTCCTTCTTACTAACTCTCCATTCTCACTCCAATATTTGACTCCTTTTCTTTCCTTTTTAAAATACCTGAAGGAACTCTTGCTATTTGTTTGTTTGTTTGCTTACTATCTCCTGCTCTCCCAATTAATCTTTTGGCCATTCTGGTGTTATTTGTCCAATAATTTGACTTGCCACTGTTCTTTGTGCAGCTGTATACTTTCCCATCTAGTTTGATGCTTTCCTTAACTATTTTAGTAAACCACAGGTGGTGGCTTCTCACACAATGTTCTTACGATAAAGAAAAATTTTATTTATTCTGACTACTCTGAAATATTATGTTTAAACATCTGCCGTTCTTCCCTATCCTTTAGCCCAGTACCCCAGTTCCCCAACTAGCTCAGTCTTCATGCCCATATAGTTGTCCTTATTTAAGTTTAAATTACTATTCTTAGACACAATGTCTTCTGCCTTTCAAACTGGACGTACAGTTTAATTCTATTGTGGTTGCTGCTTTGCAGGGGCATCTTTACACAGAAGTCATTAATTAATCCCGTCTTATTACATAATACCTAGTCTAGTATAACCTGTTCTCTGGTCGGTCCCAAAAACAACTCAAACATTCAATGAAGTTCTGACCCAGGCTCCCATTGCCAATCTGATTTTTTTTTTCCAGTTTATACGTAGGATAAAATTGCCATAATTATTCCCAATTGTTTACTACACACTCAAAATATATTTCTGTATGCTTCATCTGACATTGTGGTTGCCACTGGGGGACTTGTAGATCATCTTGACTGACTTCCTTACCTTTCTACTCCTTGTCTTTACCTGAACAGATTCCGTGTACTCATCTCAAGAACCAAGGTTTTCATTAACTGTTTCACAAATTCAGGTTTTATTAACAATGCTACCCATCCACTTCTTGATTAGTTTCCTAGTCTTCTTGAAGTAAAGTTTGATAAAGGAAATGATTTTCCTGGAGGTTCATCTTTCACGGGGGTTCATGAACTACCAGTGACACAAATTTTAAGGAACTGTCAGAAGGATTAGAGAGGAGATCAGAATTTCTTTTCATCTAAAGGGTGGTTGGGATCTGGAACTCGCTGCCGGAAAGGATGGTAGAAACAAAAGTCCTGATCATCCTTTTTAAAATTTAAGTTATAGCATTTCAAGTGCACATACAGCAGGTTCAAAATCTGGAAAGTGGGGATTAAGCTGGACAACATTTTTTTTACTACTTGCGTAGAAAGAGTTTCTTTCTGGGCTGTAAACATGCCATGTTATTAAAAGTAGCCTCTTGGCTTTCCAAGCAAGTGATTCTTGATGTGAATTGGAGAGCTATCATGGAATTGCAAAATGTGAGTTGTACTTGGGATCGTGAAAAGTTTTTGTTAGGTTGTCGGGGCCATAAGCTTTATGGTTCCTCTGTCTTGAACTTCAGAAATAAACCAGGAACAGTATTGACATATTCTGTCTCTTCCTCCTTTTGCAAAGAGGGAAGCAGCTAACTGTCTCCATCGCAATCATGATGGTGATGCAGAAGAATCCTGGGATATGATATTTAAACTTGTTTTATGAGTTGTCTTATCAGAAATAATGAGCCCAAAGCACTCATACCCTGGAGAACAGTGGAGGCTGGCTCACTAAATATTTTGGGCAGACTTTGATCTACAGTGGAAATGAGGGTTATGGGAGATGTGCAAGAAAGAGGATTTGAGGCCCCAATAGATCAGCCCTGAATTGTAGCGCAGACTTAAAAGGCCTGCTCCTACCTCTTATCACATGGCTAAGTTAGAACTATTTGAGTTCCTAATATTTCTAAGCCCTTGTGGTGATGGAGAATCATTCTTGCATAATGTATTTCTCCCAATGTTGGCAGAGAACAATCTGACAATTTCTCAACTGTTGTATCAGATGTGAAGATTGAATTAGGTGAGTGGCACACATTGACTGTTCTGGCTCAAGTAACTTTCATTGTTCTGTTTTTCTTTTGTTTTTTGTTACAGTTGATCCAAACAAAGAGCGTCGTGAAGCTGTGAAACGAAAAACAACCCAGTATTTGAAGCGAGCCGAGGAAATATTCAACTCTCACTTACAGGGGAGCTTAGGAAATGGTACCGACGATTCAGGGGTACGAAGAGTTGTGCAGAATCTGACAACTGATATTAAGTGTTGTAGTACTAAATTCACATAGGATAGAGAGCAGGCTGAATTCATGTAGAAAAAGTCAATCCTTTTTCCTGAGATTTCTCACTTCTGTAGTTAGGCAAGTCTCGGATCTTTTCTCTCATTGGGATCTCTGAATTGCTGTGAACCGCTGTCATGAATGTCTCTTGTGTTAGGACATTTGAAGACTGGTGTCATCCATGTAATATTCCTGTATTAACTCATTGTTTGGCCCAAACTGGTTAATCGTGGAAAGCATACTGTTTGTGCATTCAATGGAACTGTACTGGATTGAGTACTGATTTTGCATTTGAGAAGGTTGGGTTGCTTGCATCCAAATTGTCAGCAAAGCTGAGCCTATCAGAGATAGCAAGAACTGCAGATGCTGGAGGAACACAGTAGGCCAGGCAGCATCAGTTGGAACAGGAAAGTTGACGGTTTGGGTCGGGACCCTTCAGGAATGGGGAGGGGGAAGGGAGCTCGGAAATCGAGAGAGAGGAGGGGTGGGGCTGGGGAAGGTAGGTGGAATGGTAATAGGTGAGTGCAGGTAGGGAGTGGTGGGGATAGATCAGTGGGATGGGTGGGGCGGATAGATGGGAGAGAAAGTGGTCAGGTTGTGTCAGGTCAAGGTGGGGATGAGAGGGAGGGTTAGACAGGGGATGAGGTTGGGGGTGGGGAGATTTTAAAACTGATGAATTCCATGTTTAGTCCATTGGGATGTTGGCTCCCGAGGCAGAATGAGGTGTTGCCCGTCTAGTTTGCAGGTGGTGTCATTGTGACACTGGAGGAGGCCCAGGATGGACATGTCACCCAGGGAGTTGGAGGGGGAAGTTAAAATGGTTGGCAACCGGAAGGTGTTGTCGTTTGTCGCGTACAGAGCGCAGATGCTCTACGAAACAGTCTCTGAGTTTATGCTTGGTCTCAGCGATATAGAGGAGGCCACATTGGGAGCAGCAGATGCAGTAGACCAAGTTGACGGATGTGCAGGTGAACCCCTGTCTAATGTGGAAGGTTTGTTGAATGAAGGTGAGCGGGGAGGTGTAACACTTCCTGCGGTTGCAGGGAAAAGTGTAGGGTGTGGTGAGGTTTGTGGGGAGTGGGAGAAGTGTGGAGTGGACAAGGGAGTCACAGAGAATGGTCCCTAAGAAAGGCAGATAGGAGTGGGGAGGGAAATATCTCTTATTTTGGTTGTGGTGTCGGATTGTAGTTAGTGGAAGTGGCCGAGAATGATATGTTGGACCCCTCCTCTCTCTATTCCCCAGCTCCCTTCCCCCTCTCCATTTCTGAAGAAGGGCCCCAAACCAAAATGTCAACTTTCCTGCTCCTCTGATGCTGCCTGGCCAGCTGTGTTCCTTCAGCTCCAAAGCTGAGCCTATGATGTTTATTTTAAATAATGTAGTGTCTTAATCCAGAATATCATGTTTTCCCCCATATAAATATGTACAGTGTTTGTGGTTAATTCTATTAATTTTGAATAATCATAAGTGGCAGAAAACAATTTTAATTCAAGTGGTTGAATTTTTCCTCTCATCATACTATTTACAAGTGGTTATGAGCGCCCTATTTTCGTGTTGATGGAAGTTGTACGCTTCTTTCATGATGCCTATTTCTCTTAAGAAAATATGTAATGGGTCTTTAGGTTATATTAGTTGATGGAACCAGAAAACTACAAGACTTATCATTATGGTGGTTTTCATTCCTGGTATTGAATCAGTACTTATACCAATGTGTTTGAACTTCCAAGCACATATGACAAAAATTACAAGTTGCAGCAGTACTAATGTGCATCTGTCTCTATCCCCCTTTATCAATGGAAAGAATGTCAATCAGTAGTGGGCAATTAACGTTTTGACCTCTGTCGTTGTCCCACCCCAGTCCCCATATCCTCCATGCCGAGGTCATATATAGGATGGGCTCAAAGGGCCCAAATGTTCCAATTACTGCCATTGTTGATCAGATTTAAAAATTACCCGCTTACTTCGACATTGACACTGGAGATTCTTGATGGTGGTCTCCTGTTAGGAACCTGTTCAGGAATTTATAAATCCATCAGCAGAAAGCAGAGCTCAGAATAACAGTTACTCAACTGTGAGGGAAGGTGTTTAATTCTCGACTTTTCCGAGTGCATTACTAAGCTTGCCTGACTCAGAACTCTTTGAATTGTCTAACTCTGAGGGACATTTTCGGATTGTTTTAGTTCCAAGTGAATTGCCCGTCAGAAGTTTCAATTTCTTGGGCGTTTCTCGCTGAGTGCTTCAAAGATTCCGTACAGTCCCAATAGGCAACTGCAGTGTGTGTGCTGTTCCCCAGACTTTCTAGGTAATAGAATGTCTGGGTCAATATCTTTTACACTGTTCTTTCAAGTATTCTCAGGACAGTCTTGCACTGTAGAAGTATGTCTACTTGTACGTAATGTATCAAGTGATTTCTTTTATTTAAAGTTAAGAGGAATAAAGTAAGCCTTGTTAATAACTGTGGAAACTATCTTGTTTTTTTTCTCTTCCATCATTTGTAGGGTTTCAGTAGCCTGAGGTTTCGGCCAAATAGAATCCTCAGCTCACCAGTAGAGGATCTGAAAACATCCAAAGTCATAGCAATAGTTGACAAGGTAATGTTTAGACCCTGTCCTTCACTTGTTATGACATTCGCTTTGGCAACAAATGCTGCAGAGTAAAAAGGCTCTTGTAAGTCAGTTGTGGATTTAATGTACTATATTTTAATAACATTTTTAATTGAAGTCTACTGATACTTTTTTTCCTTTTGTAACCCAAGTAAGATTCCCTTGGTTATCGACATGTATATTCCAACTGATGAATGGTAATTGGTATTTAAGGAATAATTTAGGAAATCTCGGTGTTAAGTTTGATGTGAAATAATTGGGTTGTAGATCAGTGTTTCTCAACTAGTGGAACATATCCCAGTGAGGGAGACAACAGTGATCTAGGTTGAACACTAAGAATTGACATACGTACCAATGAAATACAAGGACAGTTTTCTACCTAATGATTAAATCATTATCTCACTTTTTTTTTACAATTTAGCAATAAAAAATGTTCTCAGCAACATTATTGCAATTTTAAAAATTTCTGTTGATGGTTAGTGTACTAAATGCAACGAAGCATAAAAATATTCCATGGAAAATGTGAGGTTTTCTATCTGTCATGGTCAGACCAGTTTTTTTTTTTTGATAAAATAGTTGATAGCATGTAAGATGCAAAGGTTTACTCTTGATTCTATATGTACTTGATTTATTCTAATATTCAGATATGTGTTAAAAATGCAAATTAAGAGCAGATTGTTATTTTTCTTCCCTTTACCCTCATTACCCTGGGCAGCACGGTGGCTCATTAGTTAGCACTGTAGCCTCACAGTGCCAGGGACCCAGGTTCAAATCCACCCTCAACGACTGTCTGTGTGGAGTTTGCACATTCTCCCCGTGTTTGCGTGGGTTTCCTCTGGGTGCTCCGGTTTCTTCCCACAGTCCAAAGATGTGCAGGGTAGGTGGATTGGCCATGCTAAATTGCCTCATAGTGTGCAGGGGTGTGTAGGTTAGGTGGGGTTTATGGTTTATGGGGAATGGGTCTGGGTGGGATGCTCCAGTGGGCAGTGTGGACTTGTTGGGCCAAAGGGCCTGTTTCCACACTGTAGGGATTCTATTTTTGTAATTGTTTTTGTTCCAAAAAAAAAATGCTCCTTGTATATTTCCTTCAGGTTTCTTCAGAAATTAGTTTAAAAATGTTTCCTTGCATGTTTTTTTTCCTCTTTTTGGGCTCTATATTACCTGTTTCCTCCTTTTCATTATCATCACAAGTTCTGCTTTCCTGGAGCATTTAACATGTGCGTGCAGTTCTTGGACTTTCAAAACCCACAACGCCTGGCCCTCTACACAACAGAGATGAGAGTCAAGAAGACATAATTTCTGGTGTGTGTGTGTGTGTGTGTGATCATCACTCATTTGTGCGAAGGATTTCCTTGTCTTACTCCCCCTTAAAAGTACCTGCCTTTCACTGACTAAATTTAACTAAACCAATAAATGTGTTTCCTTTCCATTTCTGTTTAGGTCCTGTTAGTGCAGAATCCATCCTCCAAGGAGCCCTTCATAGTGAAAGTAGGTATCTGAATTACAAATTGACAGTTAATGTTATCATTAAAAGATCGGCTGTTTGGCACTGACTTTAAAAATAGTGTGCATTTGCATTGTCCTCCAAATTATATTGAAAATCTTTAAGTGGTTGTGCTTTTGGTTGCTTTGGCCTTAAGTTCTGGAATTTGCTCTTAACTCTCTGAAACTCTTTTAAGACATTACATAAAATCTCTCTTTGACCAGAATTCTAATATCTTATGTAACTCATTGTCACACAAAATTTGACTTTTTCCTGTGAAGTATTTCGCAACAATGTATACGTGCATTGTATAGCACTTTTAATATAATAATGTACGTGGTTATGGCATGGCATTGATCCATAATTGTAGTAGTTGATCAGAATGCAGCATAGTGACTGAGTATGGTGAACTACCATGCACACTATGTCATGGTCTCAAATAAAAACAGAAAATGCTGGAAATATTTAGTGGGACCAGCAGCATCTACGGAGAGAGAACAGTTAAGGTTTAGGATTGATGACCATTCATCTGAACTAGGAAAAGGTAACTCTGTAATGGACTTTGAGCAAATGACTTAAGTGAGTCTGAACAGCCAGTATTCAAGAATGTTGCATTTGGGCATTGGAATTTGGTTGCTTTGGTGTATATTGGACGACCGTATCTAGTCATTGCTCATTTGTCAGAGGGTTGCATTTGGCACAGTAAACTTTAACTTTATCCACATTTCCAGTAAGGTAAGTTGGACTGAAGTCATGGGAAAATTCTTTTCCTTCAACCAGACCTCTATGATGAGTTTTATGGAATTAACCAGTGAGAGGGAAAAACAAAATAAATTTAATTTCCAGATGTCATTGTTTGAGGAACGGAAGGAAAATTGACACTAGGAAACCCAAGGTTCGTTTGATAATCATGTTTTTAAGTTTGGTTTTAATGTGGTTCCTGACCTGTTAGATTCACAAATGGTGTAAGAGCCAAGGATTGTGAGCCTAACCAGCTGGACTCTCCCCTGGCCTATGAGTGTACAAATCTGAGCCTTCAGAACACTCATGGCAATTAATTATTTTTTTGTTTGAAAGATCCAGCAGTTTAACTTTTCAAGAATAAAATGCATTATTTATATTGTCACACTGAAAATGCCACATAAACAGTAGGCAGTTTCATCAGGACATCCTTCCAGACACCGCAATTTTTAACGGTAAACTGATGCATCACCACTGAAAGTTTGAACGTGGCAGGTAGTGTAATTTGACAAAAGCATGAAGTCCTGGAGATAGGCATGCAGGGTACATGACCTCTAAATAGAAGGTTTAAACCAAAGAAATAGCAATAGATTAGGATCACATTCAGCTACTGGCAAGTTCTTCAAGTGTTGATTAAAGCTATCCCACTCAACAAAAGAGTTGGTGTTAAGATTTTCTCGAACTGAGTGACAGGAAGGAGAGAGTAGAGGTTGATGGATATTTTTGGCAAGAGGAAGATGCTCCAGGAGTTGGTCTTGGGATCCTTGCTTTTCTTAATCGACATAAATGGCACACACCTTGGTGTACAGGACACAATTTCCAAGTTTGTGGATGGTATAAAACTTGGACACATTGAGAACTATGAGGAGAACACTGTACAATTTCAAATGGATACAGACAGGTTTGATGGAATGGATGAACAGGTGGCAGATGAAGTTCAGTGTGGAGAAATGGGAGGTAATTCATTTGGGTAGGAGAAACATGGTGAGAAAATGTAAAATAAAAAGGCACAACCCATAAATAGGGTGCAGGAGCAGAGGGTCCTCAGTCGATGTATGAATAAACCATTGAAGGTGACAGGGCAGGTTAAGAGAGCAGTTAATAAAGCATATAGTGACTTAGCTTTATCAATAGGGTCATAGAAAATAAGAACAAGGTTATGTTTATTTGCATAAAATACTTCTTTGGCCTCGGCTAGAATATTGCGTCCAGTTCTGTGTACCATACTTTAGGATGCGAAGGCATCGGAGACAGTGCAGAAAGGATTAAAGAGAATATTATCAGGAATAAGGAATTTCAAAAATGAAGACAGTGAAGAAGTTAGGACCATTTCTCTTCGAGAAACGGCTGAAATGTGACAATGGAGATATTCAAAATCATGTGGAAGGTGGATAGAGTAGATGGGAGAAGCTGTTGCAACTAGTCAAGAAATGGAAATGAAAGGGCACAGATTGAAATTCTTGGAAAAAAGAAGTGACAGGAGAAGAAAAACATTTATGTAGCAGGTGATTAAAGTCTGGAATATACTGCCTCATGCTGCGGTGGAGGTAGGTTCAATGGAAATATTTAACGGGGACTTGGACTATATTCTGAAAAGGAAGAGTACGTGCAGGGTTCGGAGAAGAAGGCAGGAGAGAGGAACAACGAATTGCATTCTGAAAAAGGGTCACTGGACTTGAAAGGTTACTGTTCTGTTCAAAGATGCTGCTGTTTTTTTTTTTCTTCCCAGAAATTTCCATTTAATGCAAATTGCTTATTCAGAGAGCTGGTGCAGACTGAGTAGACCTAATAGCCTCTTTGTGCTGTAGTAATTCTGTGATAGTTTTTGATTTTCGTGGGCTACCTTTTGTTCTCACTAACTCATTTAGATGATGCATTTCTGTAGTAACAGGATTACTTGTGTCAGCATTAACTCGTAGAAGCAGAATTAGGAAAAAGAAATCACCTTTGATAATTATCAACCCTATATTAAACTTCAAGCTGCAACATCCCACCTGAACATTGTCTTTTGTCTTGTACCAATTTAAATACTTAGGTAAGCAACAAAATTTTTCTTTCCTCAAAAGTAACTGACACACACTTCTACATACAAAAAGCCATCACCCTAACCAAACCTGCCATAGGCTGTTGGGGTCATAGTTATGTATTTTCATCACCTGTATATTGGATCCCAGTCTCTGATTTTAAATTTGACAGTTGGTGTTCATTGTAATAACATCTGCTATGCTTTGTTGGCAATATTGTAACTCCTGAATATATTCAGGCTTGAGCTAGACATTCCACATTCGTTTGAAAGTAATTCATTACCTCTGTAATTTTGAGTTTTATTAATTCTAGTTAGCTGTGTATTTCTTTTTGACAGGTTTAAAACTGTTCTCTCTTCTTTTCTTTTGCAACCTCAAATCTCCTTCCCCATCCCTTACAACCTTTTTCTTGCCCCCACATCCCTCTTGCAGTCTACATTTTGACCCTGCACCCAACTCGGAAAGCCCACCCAAACAGAGACAACTCCTGGCTTTCTCAGTAACTCACTTGATCGTTTAAATAAACACAAAGTACTGTGGATGCTGGTGATCCAAAATAAAAACAGAATGGCAGCCTCTGTGGAGAGAGAAACAAAGTTATTTTGTTTTGAGTCCAATATGACTAATCTTTGGAGTGCCAGGTGGGAGACCATGTAATGAAAATCCGGAAACTAGAGTTGGCATCCCTAGACACCATGATTATAATTTGTGGAGTTTGGACATTAAGACTTGCTCTTAAACCTGAACCCACAAATTTCTTGTATTGAATTGATTGACTTGCATCGAAATGATGTCTGCCTCTTTGTTTTCACATTAAACACCGCTTACCTGATGGATGCAAGGGAAATGGTTTTCATATCGGAAAGTGTCATTCTAGATTGTATTGGAGTTCTTCACTGGCGCATGATTCATGAACTTTCTTTAAACTGCTAAAGGATGTTATTTATCTCAATTCTGCACTTCCATCGTTTATTAATCACCTAATTGCTTACATTCTGTTCATCATGTTGACTTTTCTCAGCTAAATTCCTGGAACTAATCAGATAAAGTTAACTAAGATCAGTGAAATGACCCAAGATATCTTGTTCACAGAAATACATTTGCTGTTTATCATTTGTGATACATCACTGTATAAACACAGCATAATGAATGACCTGAATTCATTTCTTTAATGCAAACACAACATAATACCATGGAGTGATCGGATTATAAATTGGCATGAACAGTATTTTCCAGAATTTTAATAGTGAGCAGAAGCTATAAGAAAAGTGAAGCAACGTGTCTTCATGTATCTTTTCAGTGGCTGGTTTTAGTGACTTGGGAGAAAGTTGGCTGTCCAGTGGTTTAGCCGTGGGTTATGTGTAGCACAAGGAGGCAGAGTCCAACGAATTCTACTTTCTCTTCCTATAGAGTCTACCCAAATGTAGCCTGGTGAATCGTGAATGTCCGACAATAATACCACAGGGTGTTCCGTTTATGGTGCAACTTCTGCAGTATTATGTCAGCGATGACGCAGTCTTCCTTCACCTGGAGCACGTACCAGGTAATGGCCTGCTTGAAGAAGATTGAAGAGGTGGAAAGATGAAGAATGACATTTATAGGTTTAATGAGAACTGAAATCCTGTTGAGGTGGGAGGGGGAGCGGGATCAAAAACACTAGCCATAAAGCTGTTCAAAAGTTGCTAATCTGGAGTGTGGCCCTGACTGACTTCATCTGAGTCCAGTGGGATTGGAGAGAATTATCTGTAGGTCTGTGTTCGACTTTATTATTTTTATTTTTTTTTTTTTTTTTTCTTTTTGTTTTCTCACTTTTGGTTCGAGTTCTTCAGATAGGAAAGGATACCATTGGTAACGACAATAGGAAGGATGTAGTTCCCCACTGGAGGGAATACAGAAGATGTTCACTGTGATATTGCATGGGAGGGAGTGGTTTACCTATGAAGAAAGACTGGATAAGCTTGGGTTATGTTCTTAAGAGTGAAGAAGGCTGAGAAGGGGCTCGAGAGAGGTACAAGATTGAAATGCATAGACCAGGTGCATAGAAGATTGAGTACAGGAGCAGGGATATGTTGTTGCAGTTATACAGGGCCTTGGTGAGGCCACACCTAGAATATTTTGTACAGTTTTGGCCCCCTTTTCTGAGGAAGGATGCTATTGCTTTTGAGGGAGTGCAGCGAAGGCTTACCAGGCTGATTCCAGGAATGGTGGGTCTGACGTATGAGGAGACTGACTGACTAGGTTAGGATTGTTTTCACTGGAGTTCAGACAAACGAGGTGAGGAGGGAATTTCTTAGAGACTTTTAAAATTCTAACAGGACTAGACAAGGTAGATGCAGGGAGGATGTTCCCAATGGTGGGTGTGTCCAGAACCAGGGGGTCACAGTCTAAGGCTTCAGGGTAGATCATTTAGGACTGAGATGAGGAGACATTTCTTCACCCAAAGAGTGGTGAGCCTGTGGAATTCATTACCACAGGAAATAGTCAATGCCAAAACATTGAATATATTCAAAAGGTGGCTAGATATAGCACTTGGGACAAGTGGGATCGAAGGTTACAGGGAGAAAGCAGGATTAGGCTATTGAGTTGGACGATCAGCCATGATCGTGATGAATGGCGAATCAGGCCGCTTCCTGCTCCTCGCTGCTATGTTTCTATGAAGCAGCTGTTCCACTTAATTGAAGGATCAATAAAGAGGGGCATAATTTTAAGATGAGGGGCAGGAGGCTCAGAAGATTTGAGGAAAAGTTCTTCCTCCTCCTCCTCCTCCCTCCCCCCTCCAGTGCAAGAGAATGGTGGTAATCTAGAATGCTCCCCCCTGGAAGCATTTGAGGCTTTTTTTAAAAAGCTATCTGGATGAGCAGTTGAATTGTTAACATTCAAGACTATGGGATAACTGCTGACAAGTGAGATTACTATAGATACGTTAGTGCAAACTTGATGGGCCAGACTCTGGCTGGTGCGATGAAATGTAATGACCATGCCTGTACTTACTTTGTAACCAAGCTATGATATAATGAACAATCCTACTCATGAAGTTGGCCACATATCTAATTAAGTGGATGGCAAGATTACATAGGTAAACATAATGCCAATAATGAAATACTCTTGTAACACCTGACCCAGGAGGCCCAGATCAAGTCCCACTTACTCCAGAGGTGTGTATTAACATCTGAATAGGTTGATTAGAAAATATCTTCTCTTTCATACTCTTTCTGACTTCGGTAAGGGAGTTCTCCTTGATGTTCTGGCCCATATTTATCTCTCAGACCAATGTCCCTTCTTTTTTTAAGAAAGATAGGTTATGTAGTCCAGATTTCTCTTGCTGTTTGTTGCATCCTTTCCTCCATTATAGGAGTGACTGTCCTTCAAACTTTCTTGCTAACTGGGATGTTCCAATGTGTTAGATTTGCAAATACCTTTTTTAAATGACTTGTTTCATTCCACAGATGGAACTTGGATGAATAATTTAGTTTAGTTTTATCTGCAGTAATCCAGAAGGAGAGACAACAGTAGACCATGCAGGTTGTATACAGACTGTTCAAAGTAGTAAGCTCGGTAGGACAATTGGGCATAAAAACAATTGTTTCTTATCTCTTGATGAGGAACTTCATCTTGCACAGAAATTTAGATGAAAAAGAAATTTGCATAGGAATGCCACCACCTGCAGGTTCCCCTTCAAGCCACTCAAAATCGTGACTTGGAAACATATTGCTGCAGCCTCAGGAGGAGAAGCAAAGTTAGGAGCAGAATTCGGTATCTTGCATCTGCTGTGCCATTCAATACGATCATGGCTGATCTGTTTGTTTCATATTCCACATTCCCAATAATCTTTGACTCACAAGTGTAACTTAGGAAGTATGAAAGCTAAGTTAACAATTTCCCACAAACAGCTTTGAAAGACTTTGTTCGTACATTAGTTGTGAGATAGATATTGGCCTTGATGGCATGGAAGTTTCCCTGTGTTATTCTTCAGCGTAGTATTATGACTTTCCGTATGAGTGCAGCCTTGCCCGTTGACCATGAAGTGTTTCCTCAGTACTGCACTAGTCTGTTCAGCTTGGAATTTATGCGCAAGCCTCCTAAATAGGGCATGAACCCACTGCCTGCTGACTCCTGTAACTGTGCTAACAACTGAGCTAGAGCTAGTACATGTGTTGCATCTCTAATCATTTTTGGCTTTGCTTACTGCTTTGCATTGGCGGGACTACAGTTACGATATTTTCCACTGTCTCATGCAACTTGCAAGGCTGAAGTCTTTGTTCTTTTTCTTTAGCAGGGAAGCTCTGGTCTCAGCTGCGTCACCTCCGTCCATCTGTTGCAGAAAAGGGTATGGAATTTCCAGAATGCTCCAGTCCACATCACACAACCATTAAAATGAGAAACAGCTACACTGCTCCCTCTCTCTCATCCATGTGCTGTGACAATTCCGTACTTCCACCCAATAGCAAGAGGGAATGGCAAAAAGAGACCAAGAATGAAATAAATGGCGAATATGACAATAAGTATGGTTACAGCACTGATGGTATCAATGATCCAAAATCAAGTACGTCACAAGGATTTGTGAAAGACCAGGCATCCCACCGAATAAATGGCACAGACCAACTAAGTACACACAATGCAAGTGCAAAAATCTGGCGGGGAAATAATGGAATTTCAAAGGGTTGCATAGCATTGAATGGCTTGCGGGGGAGTGCTGAGGGGACAAGCTTTCAAGTGGCGCAGCTGATATACAGCGCGGATGTAACTTTTGACCTCACTGCCTTGCTTCCTGCAAAGGATGCTAAGTTGACTCCAAGCAGTAAAACTGCAAATCACACCATGACAATAACTGTGGACCATTTAATGCAAAATGATCTTCAGAGTGAAAAGAGTCAGCTTCTCTACGAGGATAAGATTTTACGGTCCCATGAATGTTTCTTAGAGACAAAAAGCTTCAATGATACATTGAGTCCAAAGTCATCCGAAACTAACCAAAGCCAAGCAGCTTCAGATTTGTTAAAAGAAAAGGCTATTTTAATTCAAGAGGAGCCTGTGAATGGATCGAGTCCAATTAGAAGTCCTGTTAGAGCCACCAGCTTGAACTTGAAGGCTAGCAGACGGCAAGGGCAAAGGGGTTCATACCAAATTACAGTCAATCCTTTAGATACTATTGAGGATAGTAGCAAAGTCACCGGTGTTATGGATAATTCTGAGCTAGTACTTGTCAGAGCATCATCTGTAATGCCTGTGAGAAATACAGCTGTCACAGTGTTGGGAAAGGGGCTGTCTGAGCAGAAGACTTCCGTGAGTGTTCTCGGCCCTGTACAACAACCTAATACACATTTGATATCATCTTTAATTGAGCAACCAGTAAAGTCATTAAAATCGAAAGGCATCTCGACTAATGACATGGAAGTGTTGAACCATGAAGGTGAAAGTCCTAAGATTGACCATCTGTTTCAACTTCCAAACCAAATTCCAGTTCCTGAAACCCATTGTGACTGTGAGGACTGCGATGCCAGAACTATTTTGTGCACGGGGTGTCTTCACAAAGCTGAGAACGGAGGGTGCTGTAGCAGGATTTCAGGCTCTTCAGCTCCTGACAAAGCAGAAGAAAGGGAGTTTGCATCTTTTTCAACTCAACATTCAAAAGCTGAACTGCCTGATCCAAACCAAACCTCCTCAAGTCTGTCCGATGATCACGTTAGAATCTGGGCAGCTGAGATGGTTCTTGCTTTAGAAAGCCTCCATCAGCAGGGAATTATTTGTCTGGATCTAAATCCAAGAAATATACTTGTGGATAATGCAGGTGAGAGGGGAGGGAACAGGAGTCAAGATTTGTACTGGTTTTTCTCAAATGTTGCTGATTCTGTCATAGGAGGTTGTGTGTGTTGTATTAACTCATTCACTAGAACTATTTTCTATCTTGATAGGTCACGTTTGCCTCACGTACTTTGGCCAGTGGAGCGAAGTTGAAGTTCAATGTAGCACCAAAGCCATAGAGGATATGTATTGTGCACCAGGTAATAATTTTGGTTTTGATTTACAAAACTAAACTGAGGTGATGTACTGGATTTCCCAGTGAAGCATCTTGAGGACATTTAGCACCTTAAAATAAATGAGTACAGATTTAGTTTAATGGGTAATCGCACTACATTCACAGAGACACCCAGATTACAGTTGTTCTAGATTCACTATTTGCTCAGAATTAACTGACCTGAGCTTTGCTTTTGGAATATTAAAACATAGGAGCAAAGAGCCACAGTTTTATGCAGATGCTGCATTAAATTCATTTAAGTGGTAGCGAGATGAGACCTAAACCAGATTGCATGAGGCCCATCACATGCAAACAGTGTACCAGTCAGTGACTTTGTTTATAAGTGAAGAGAGAATATTTGGGCAGGGAGCAAAAAAACTGGTCAGCCTAGGCTGTGACCTTTTAGTTTAGTGGCCAGTTAATCTAGGAACATGTTCGCCATTTTCTCCTATGTTTGCTAAATCTACATCAGTTTCCATTCAGGCAACTCAATGTGGTTTTCAAATATCTCCTTGGCCTCCTCCATTCCCAATCTCTAATGATCTCAAGCCCCACAACCCTCTGCTTATCTAGTTACAATGAATTGAGTATCCTTGATTTTTAATTGCTGCAGCACTTATGGCTGTGCTTTTTGGCTGCCTGTGTCCTAAGCTCTGACATTCCCTCTCTCAGCCTCTGTAACTGTTGCATCAAACAGCAGTGGCCCCAAAACAGATCCTTGCAGTACACCACTAGTAACTGAACTCTAGGATGAGCATTTCCCATCAACCACCACCCTCTGTCTTCTTACAGTTAGACAATTTCTGATCCAAACCACTAAATCACCCTCAATCCCATGCCTCCGTATTTTCTGCAATAGCCTACTGAGGGGAACCTTATCCAACGCTTTACTGAAATCCATATACACCACATCAACCGCTTTACCCTCATCCACCTGTTTGGTCACCTTCTCAAGGAACTCAATAAGTTTGTGAGGCACGACCTACCCTTCACAAAACCATGTTGACTATCCCTAATCAAATTATTCCTTTCTAGATGATTATAAATCCTATCTCTTATAATCCTTTCCAACACTTTACCCACAACCGAAGTAAGGCTCACTGGTCTATAATTACCAGGGTTGTCTCTACTCCCCTTCTTGAACAAGCAGACAACATTTGCTATCCTCCAGTCTTCTGGTACTATTCCTGTAGACAATGACGACATAAAGATCAAAGCCAAAGGCTCTGCAATCTCCTCCCTAGCTTCCCAGAGAATCCTAGGATAAATCCCATCCGGCCCAGGGGACTTATCTATTTTCACACTTTCCAGAATTGCTAACACCTCCTCCTTATGAACCTCAATCCCGTCTAGTCTAATAGCCTGTATCTCAGTATTCTCCTCGACAACATTGTCTTTTTCCTGACGAAAAATATTCATTTAGTGCCTCTCCTATCTCTTTGGGCTCCACGCACAACTTCCCACTACTGTCCTTGACCGGCCCTAATCTTACTGTAGTCATTCTTTTATTCCTGACATACCTATAGAAAGTTTTAGGATTTTCCTTGATCCTACCTGCTAAAGGCTTCTCATGTCCCCTCCTGGCTCTTTTTAGCTCTCTCTTTAGGTCCTTCCTGGCTAACTTGTAACTCTCAAGTGCCCTAACTGAGCCTTCACGCCTCATCTCTACATAAGCCTCCTTCTTCCTCTTGACAAGAGATTCAACTTCTTTAGTAAACCACTGTTCCCTCGCTCACCCACTTCCTCCCTGCCTGACAGGTACATACTTATCAAGGACAGGCAGTAGCTGATCCTTGAACAAGCTCCACATTTCAATTGTGCCCAGCCCCTGCAGTTTCCTTCTCCATCCTATGCATCCTAAATCTTGCCTAATCGCCTCATAATTGCCTTTCCCCCAGCTATAACTCTTGCCCTGCAGTATATACCTATCCCTTTCCATCGCTAAAGTAAACGTAACCGAATTGTGATCACTATCACCAAAGTGCTCACCTACCTCCTAATCTAACACCTGGCCTGGTTCATTACCCAGTACCAAATCCAATGTGGCCTCACCTCTTGTTGGCCTATCTACATACTGTGTCAGGAAACCCTCCTGCACACATTGGACAAAAACTGACCCATCTAAAGTACTCGAACTATAGCATTTCCAGTCAATATTTGGAAAGTTAAAGTCCCCCATAACAACTACCCTGTTACTTTCGCTCCTATCCAGAATCATCCTTGCAATCCTTTCCTCTACATCTCTGGAACTTTTCGGAGGCCTATAGAAAACTCCCAACAGGGTGACCTCTCCTTTCCTGGTTCTAACCTCAGCCCATACTACCTCAGTAGACGAGTCCTCATCAAATGTCCTTTCTGCCACCGTAATACTGTCCTTGACTAACAATGCCACACCTCCCCTTCTTTTACCACCTTCCCTGATCTTACTGAAACATCTAAAACCCCGAACTTGCAACAACCATTCCTGTCCCTGCTCTATCCATGTCTCCGAAGTCCCAGGTACCAACCCATGCTGCAAGTTCACCCACCTTATTCCGGATGCTCCTGGCGTTGAAGTAGACCCACTTCAAACCACCTTCCTGCCTGCCGGTACACTCCTGCAACCTTGAAACCTTATTCGTGACCTCACTACTCTCAACCTCCTGTACACTAGAGCTACAATTCAGGTTCCCATCCCTCTGCTGAATTAGTTTAAACCCTCCCGAAGAGCATTAGCAAATTTCCCCCCCAGGATATTGGTACCCCTCTGGTTCAGGTGTAGACCATCCCGTTTGTAGAGGTACCACCTATCCCAGAATGAGCCCCAATTATCCAGGTATCTGAATCCCTCCCTCCTGCACCATCCCTGTAGCCATGTGTTCAACTGCTCTCTCTCCCTATTCCTTGCCTCGCTAGCACGTGGCACGGGTAACAAACCAGAGATAACAACTCTTGTTTGTTCTAGCTCTAAGCTTCCACCCTAGCTCCTTGAATTTCTGCCTTACATCCCCATCCCTTTTCCTGCCTATGTCGTTGGTGCCTATGTGGACCACGACTTGGGGCTGCTCCCCCTCCCCCTTAAGGATCCCGAAAACACAATCAGAGACATCACGAACCCTGGCACCTGGGAGGCAACACACCAACCGCAAGTCTCTCTCGTTCCCATAGAATCTCCTATCTGTCCCCCTAACTATGGAGTCCCCAATGACTAATGCTGTCCTCCTCTTCCCCCCACTTCCCTTCTGAGCAACAGGGACAGACTCTGTGCCAGAGACCTGTACCCCATGGCTTACCCCCGGTAAGTCGATCCCCCCAGCAGTATCCAAAACGGTATACTTGTTATTGAGGGGAACGGCCACAGGGGATCCCTGCACTGTCTGCCTGTTCCCTTTCCGTCCCCCAACTGTAACCCATCTACCTTTTTCCTGTACCTGAGGTGTGACTACCTCCCTGTAACTCCTCTCAATTATCCCCTCAGCCTTCCGAATGATCCGAAGTTCATCCTGCTCCAGCTCCAGCTCCCTAACATGGTTTCCGAGGAGCTGGAGTTGGGTGCACTTCCCGCAGATGAAGTCAGTGGGGACACTAGTGGTGACCCTTACCTCCCACATTCTACAGGAGGAGCATGCAACTGCCCTAACATCCATTCCCACTGTTCTGAATTCCCAAACAGACTATTGGAAAAAAAAACTAGTAACCTTACCAAATCGGCACTCAGAACCTTTTTTTTTTTTTGGTTAGAGGACAAGGATGGGTGGGGGACACTACCTAGGTAGTGTTTCGGGTAAAGCAACCGCCCAAATATATTACCCCACTTACTCAGCTGTTCCGTGTCCGCTCCTGCTCAGCGTGCTCTCTGCCTATTCACGAGGTAAGTTTTTAAAGGATTAACTTACCTTCCCAGGCTGCCCTCGTGTTTCCTCCCGGACTCCCGCCGCTGAACCAACTGAAAGGCTGCAGTCTTGTTTAAAATGAATTGTCAATTCTGACTAATGAAAAGTGGAGCTCTCGGTGGATAAATCTGAAGTAGCGTGTAGAATTGCAGAAATAAGAACAAATTAAGGCAAAGTGGCATTTAGCAAATTTATTACAAAGTTGAATTGTGTGAGCAGAATAGTCAAAAAAATAACTTTCGAAGGTGGGTGTTTCAACTGTACAGTGCTCTGGTCAGGATGCACTTCAGAGGTCTTTATGGTTTGGCCACTGAGCGAGTTAGAGATGCTCAGTGTAAAGATAAAACATAAAACACATCACCAAAGCCTGATTACCAGAGCAATGAGAAAGAAATGAGAGATTTAGAATTTTTTCAACCTAACAGAGTGGCAAACAAGTATATGTTTCACAATTAATATTAGTAAGCTGTGGGGAATTTGTTAAACTGGGAGTAGGGAAAGAGGACACTGACTCCATCTGGTAACTGGTGTTGTATTAGGAACCACTTCACAGTGATCCATCAGAATGCATGGTTAAAGCAAAAACCCTGACATCATCGAACAAAACAATTAGATCCATAGACCATGTTTAGAAAATAATCCAGACAGTGTTGAGAATTACACCAGAAACCAGTTTAGGTTTGCCAGTAGGCTCAATGTGCTGCATTTTCATGTGATAGAGGCTACGTGTGTTAAACACAAAACCCTGTTTTATGCATTGCAATTTTTCCATTGACGGGAACAAGAGGAGGTCCAAGATGGCTAACTTGTTGCAATCTCATGATGACACCCTGACCAATCTCAAGTTATCTGCTTGGTCTGAGAATGAAGAATGTCAATTTAACTGTTCCTGCAGTATCTCCATAACAACTATGACCCAATCAATCACGTACCTTATGCCGTATTAAGTGTCCGTTTTTCCAGGTCTGCTTCTTCTGTCCTAGTGCAGATAACTGCAAGACTAAAAGCTTTGACTCCTTTTAGCAATGTTTAAATTAAGCAAAACTCAGAATTATTCCTACACAGCTTTCACCTCCAAATACTGTTTAAGAAAATGTGGGGTATTAAAGTTGTAACATTCGTACTCATTTAAGGTAGGTTTCCCTCATTTCCAAATGTCTGTTTTAATTTTGGCAGAAGTCGGTGGGGTTGGAAGAGTAACAGAGGCCTGTGACTGGTGGAGCCTTGGAGCATTGCTGTTTGAACTTCTAACTGGGATGGTAACTGTTGATGCTTTTGTGTCATCCTGTTATTTTTTTGTTGTTGTTGAGATTTTATACCATCTGTATACATAAAAGTAAGTCTGTCGACACATCCTGACACCATTGCTGCAAATAATTATTCCTGAAATGATTCCAGGGTTTAGACTTCCTGCACTCTGATGCTGATCCATTTATTGATTTCATCTTTTCATCTTTCTAATCCCAAACTCAATTTATCTTTCAGTACTGTAAGTCCATGTCCTACTTCTAATCTCTCAATTTAAATGATGATCTTAATCAGGCTGTGTCATTTTCCATTCCCTTAACCACTATCCATGCTGGGAAAAATAAGGTCACCTGTCTGGTCACAGCTCAAAAGCCAAAGTAACACTGATCTTCTAGCTCAAGCTACCAATGTTCCTACAGAGCTTTGTGATTCCTTGACTGGTACAACATCTAAAATGTTTTCCCTGTGTTTTGGGGGTGCATTATCTGGGATGAATTCTGACCAGAGCAGAGCATTGCATTTATCACAACAACTTCAGACTTGCTTCATTTCCATTGTTTTACACACTGAATTTGCTGATGGCTGATATGTATTGTTGGATTTGTAGCATTTAGAGTCGGCTGAGATGGAGTTTTTTCCAACTTCATCCTTATTCTATTCAAACAATCAGCACTGAAGTACTGTTCCATGTTTTTCTTGAATGCATTACTTTAACGTAGGCATTCCCTATAACCCACTGTTGTTCTGACCATTTTTACATTTTGTTTAACTCCTATGTATCGCTGCCACTCGTCTGCAAAGTTGACAAACTTGCAATGAACTGAGTTGCAAATGCAAGTCATTTGATCCAATATAGAAAAAACAAGTAACCTCCATGTGGAACCCTTAGATATCAGATTTTGTACCTGGTTTGATTCCTTCAGCAAAAATCTGTTTTCTACCGTTCAGCCAATTCCAAATCCACTTGTGTGAATCACTCATGTTTGAGTTTATAATTCACCAAGTGATTTTTATTAAATGAGTTAGTTATCAGCAGTTTTACCCCTGGTGAAGAAATACAAAGCATTATTGACCCAGAATTGTGTTCCTCAGCATTGTAAATTGATGTTCTGTATCTCTGTCCTTCCCAGACTCTGTCTCAGTGCTACCCTTCCAGAATCCATTCTCACACCCAGCTCCGACTCCCGGACCATCTCAGTCCTGCTGCAGTGTCACTTCTTCAACAGGTGAGGGCGCCAGTTAGTTATTTGTGCTGCATACATCCAGATTTTTCTCGGCATTTGAAATCAAGTACTCCTGCGGCACAGTGGTAGTGTACTTACCTCTGAGCCAGGAATCCTGGATTCAAGTCCCACCTGCTGTAGAGGAGTGTAGTAACACCTGAGCAGGTTGGTTAGAAAATACTGAAATTGGAAAACACTTTCTGGATAGTGATCAAGAATAGTGATAATTCAGTTCTAGCTATCATAACTTGATCTGGAATAACTATATATAAATAAACTCAGTCCATATATATATATATATAGAACTTTATCAAGATTTCTGTGCTTCAGATCCAACAAAGAACACAAGTCTAGCCAAGCTTTTCTAGACTAGTGCTGCAGGCAACTTGTGCACGCTGTGGACCCAGAAGTACAAATGAAATGATTGTTTTTTGTTAGCGTCAATTGAGGGAAGAACATTGACTTTCGCATCAAGAAACTACTCTTCACATAGTATTTAAAAAATCTTATGAGTTCATCCTAACAATATTTTAGTTTAATATCTGTTGTAAAGATGGCTGTGATAACGTAGCAGTCTCCACTTTTCCACTGAAATCTCAGACTGGAGCAGCATTGGTTAACTGGCAACATTCCTGCCTGGAAGGCAGTCATCTGTTGACTTAAACAAAGTTGATGTGTAATTCTCTGAAGTAAACCAACTGTGCTCTTTTGATTTAAAAACCCAAAGGACAGCAGATGCAGTAAATCAGAAGAAACAAATTACTGGAAAAGCTCAGCAGGTCTTTCAGCATCTGTGAACTAAGTACTAAGTTCTGAGGAAGGGTCACCGGACCTGAAATGTTAACTCTGATTTCTGTCCACAAATGCATCCAAAACTGCTGGGTTTTTCCAGCAGTTTCTGTTTTTGTGTGTGCTTTCAATTTGTTTCTCAAGATTGCTAATTTTTTTTGGTAACAGTCTAAAGCAATGAAAACGATCAGAGTACCTCTGATTTGGTGACAATCCATTTCATACATTGATTCCAGTTAGCATGGAGATTTTGCTTAACTGATGTCAGCATTGCTTGACTGAAATTTGAAAGACTCTATTTTACACAAATTCATAATCACATTTTGTTATTGTGCAAAAGGAGGCCACTTGGACCAGATTGTTTTACACTAGCTGTCTGAACATTTTGACTCTTCTGCCTTTTCTCTGTAACCCTGCATGTTCCGATTTAGGTAACTATCTAATGCATTCTTGAATGCCTCAATTGAACCTGCCTCCTCCACACAGTGCCTTCCATACATTTAGTATTTGCTAACTGAAAATTATCTTTATTTGATGTTACAGTTGCTTTTTATTTTGCAAAATGCTTTAAAAGTGGCTCTCAATCCTTTGAGTGGGAATAATTAATTTCTCTTTTTTTTTTTTTTTTTTTGAAACTTCTATTGGATCTCGTTTAGCCTTCTCCCTCAGCAGGGAAATCGGTTCCACTTTCTCCAGTCTTTCCTCGTAACAGAACTGCCTTAACCCTGGGACCATAATCATTTAACCTCTTTGCCACGCTGTCCAATACAATTTTATCCTTCGCTCAAAGTGTGGTGCTCCAAACGATACACTATTCTCCAGCTAGGGTTGAGCCAGTACTTTTATATATGGTGGTCATGATCTCCCAATTCTTGTAATTTCTACCCCTATTTATGAAGCCTAGAATATGGTATGTTCATTAACAGCCCTCTCTACCTGTCCTGCCACCTTTTAATGGCTGTGTGCATATATAGCTAAGTGTCCAATTCTGCACACCCTTTAAAAATATCCTTTTTATTAGACTGTGTTCTTTTGTACCAAAATGCATCACACTTCTTGCACTGAACTTTTCTGTTACTATCTGCCTACTCCTTCAAAGTGTCAATATCTGTTTTGAAGTTCTACACCACCGCCTTCAGTTTTCATTTTCCATTTTCCCCAAAGTTTTTCATCCACAAACTTTGAAATTGTCCCCTGCACACCAAAATTTACATCATTTATTTAACAAGAAAAGCAAGGGTCCAAAACTGACACCTGGAGACCTCTACTACTTCCAGCCTGTAAAATGCCCATCAGCTGTACTCTATTTCCTCTTTCTCTGCCAGTTTTGCATCCATATTGCTACTGTGTCCTTTTTAATTCCATGACTTATCTTTCCTGATGTTCACAATTCTCCAATCCTCTGGCACCACCTTGAATCTAGAAGAGGCTGGAAGATTATCGCCAGTGCCTCTGAAATTTCCATTCATTCCTTCAGTATCCTTTTGCATCCCTTCTGCTCCTGGTGCTTTATTTAAGTACCAACAACTTGACCAGGCTATCCTTAAATTTTAAACCCTTCTGGTAACTGAGTTTCTTCCTCTGTCACAATGGCCTAGGCAGCATCTGCTTCATAGGTAAAGGAAGATGCAAAGTAATCCCTTAAACACCTCAGCCATAGCTGTTGCCTTTGCGTTAATGCCACTTCTGGTTACTAATTGGCCCAACTCCTTTTTATCACCATTTTACTATTGATAATCTTATTGAACATTTTGGAGTTTTCCTTTTTCATGTTAGCTACCAGTCTTCTTTCATAGTTGCTCTTTGTTTCATTGCATTTGCTTTTTCACCTCTCTTCTGGATCTTCTGTATTCAGCATACTTAGAAGAACATAGAATAGAACAGTACAGGCCCTTCGGCCCATGATGTTGTGCCAACCTATTATCCTACTGTAAGATCAAACTACCCTGCATAGCCTACACTTGCCAATCATCCATGTTAGTGCTCAACTGTATCGAGTAAATTAAGTTTAAAAAACAAGAAGTGCACTTATGACAGGTGTTTTTTAACTTAATCTATGCTGTCTTTGTCATCCAGAGCGCTCTGGATTTGTTTTACCTATTTTTCCTTTCTTGGGGGAGTATGCCTTGATTGTGCCGAAACCGTCTCCATTTTGAAAATAGCCTATTGATCAGCTGCTGCTTTTCTCACCAGCATTTGGTTTCTGTCTGTCGAGTTCAGCACTGGTTTTTCCTAGTTGGAGTTTGCTTTCAATTGATTATTCTTCATCTTGAGTGACGAATATTGCTTCCTACCACCATCTTGAATCTTATCGTACAAAGATCACGGTCTCCTGAAATTTTGCTACTGTCACTTGATGTAATTGGCCCACTTGATTCCCAAGAAAAGGTGTAGCAGTGTCTCCTTTCATGTTGCACTGGACACGTATTGCGAGAGGAAATTCTCCTGAACGCTGTCTAGGAGCACTTCTTCCTCATTGCCCCTTGCACTACTGCTACCACTGTCAATGTCAAATGATTAATTTAAGGCTCCCATTACAACTACTTTGTTTACTCCTTTGTAATTTTGTTGCAAATCTATTCATCTAGTTCCTTTCCACCAGCTGGTGGTCAATATATTACATCGGACAATGTAATTGCATACCGCTTGCTCGTTAGCTTTAGTCTTGAACCCTCTGAAATGTATTTCTCTCCAGTATTGAGTGTTCTCCTTATCCAAAAATGCCTTCCTTCCTCCTTTCTTTTTTCCTTCTTTTCCATCTTCTTTATATTTTGAACGTAGGAATATTAATCACCCTTCCAAAAGCCAGGCCTCCACTGTCACCGTGTCATAGTCATAAAGTGTAGGAACAGACCCTTCAGTCTACCACAGCTATATTAACCAACAAACGCCAGACTACACTGAGGATTGGCTAAGAATATGGAATTGTCCAGCATCTGAAAAGACCTATTTTTGAGCTACACAATATTTACACATGTTCTTCTTAGTGGTTTCACAAGCCAACAGCCATAGTGCACCATGATTTAAGATTAATGAAAAGATGAATGACCATGGTCATTAAAGTAATGGCTTCAATTTATCTGAAAACAAACAGTTGGAATCCACAATAGTGATTAACTGAACATTTATTGTGAGGAAAGCAGATATGATATGATTCCTTTTTCTGGTGAATGTTTTTGTTTAGCAGAAAACTGGGAACTGCATAAGAGTTAAAAACACAGTGGTCCTACTGGACCATAAAGCTGCTCTCTGATTAGAGGGAGAGCTGACTGGTGGTGGTGTAACATGAAGGTTGTCACATCTCAAGCGAGAGGAGAGGACCTTCATGGTAACGTCAGCCGATGTGGGAATTGAACGCAAGTTGTCACCATTCTGCATTGAAAGCCAGCCATCCAACATGTTAGGCTGGACCTTGGGAGTGTTGAAGTCATAATTCCATACTGCTAATAGTCTGTTTCCAGCAGTGTTTATTGCCTTTGCCTATTTGGAGCACAAACAAAGCTAAGGCGAGCTAGATTTCCTTCATGTCGATCTTTCTTTTTTTGTTTCCTCTCCTAGTTGTTGCAGTGGGATTATCGCTGCCGGCTTGGTTCTGGTGAGAATGGAGCACAGGAGGTAAAATCTCACTCCTTTTTCAGCACCGTGAACTGGGACAAGCTGAATGGTTATAGATGAGGTGCGTCACAGGAAATCCTCTACCTGACCTAATGACTAACAACAAAAGCTTGGAAGGAGAACAGAGTGTACTCGGATGATCAGGGAATTTGTGCACTACGCTGACTCTCGAACAATTTCCGCAGCCATGATCTACAGCAGAATGTAGCTAAGACTGGAGATTTACCAGGCATGTTTAAGCCAGTTACAGTAACACTAAAGCTGATCATGGGTTCCTCCAGCTTGCTGTGACAATGCCCATGTTGTCAAAGACCCAATCAGACACTCTTCAGTGAATTTTTAACTTTGATCAAGTGACATTAATCATTTTTGTGATGAGATGTACTTAGACATGATGGCCCTTCCTGGTTAAGGATCCCTCTTTATCTGGCGTCCAGCTCCTCTTCTCCCATAAGGGAATCCCCATCTCTCAATTTTTCAGTCCGATGTCTTTGTCTTTCTCCTTGCCATCTCTAGCAAAAACCACATTCCACACCAAATGATCAGGTTTGTTACCTTGCCTGAGCCCACCAATGCAGGCAAGGTTGGTAATCCCAAACTGTCCTTGCCTGAATGTCAAAAATGTTTCAAGGTGTTTGGTGCTAAAACTAAAGTGGGGCCCAATGATTAATTGGATCAGAAACATTCGCAACTGTTAAGCTATGGTTCACTCTCAATCCAGAGTTGTCCAATTCACCCAACCTTGATTTGAGGTTTTTTCCCCCTCATTTGTTTTTACACAAGCGAGAAATTCATGGGAAATGGAGATGGGATTTTCTTAACAAATGAAAATACAGTTGAGTGTTTTGAGATTTCATTTTGATTATTTAGTGGCTTCCACCAAAATAAAATCTTGTCAAGATGTCTCTTGTTTCCCCTCCTGTCATGGGAAAGTGTCTGACTGGCAGTGTGAGATCAGACATTCTATATTTAACAAGCATTACTATTTGTTATGAATAAATGGGTAAATAATTATGAATCATTGTCATATGACACTAGTTGAAACTCTAAACCCCTTATAAGGACTTGGAAGGCAATCTAATGGTCCCCTGTACACAGGGTTTGTTTCCTTTGGCTCACCAGGATGTGCTGATCCTCGATTCTCCTTCAGCACTTGCTTGCAGAAGACACAAGGTGGGTAGGTTCATGCATTAAAAGTTTCTGGCTTACTGGTTAAGAGCCACAGCTTGCAAAAAATAAACTGGTCATCTTGAGGTTCAAGATGCTTTTAACTACAGAGTAGTAACCTCTCTCCTTCCAGAGGTCCAATGGTTTCTGCCCCAACATTTATACCTGCAAGCTGTTCAGCTACCTGGGAACCAATCACATAGTTGGTGGCAAGTAGAAGGCTTTTGTCATCAATAACCAGTTGTTAGTCCATCAACCAATCAGCTCCTTGTTACCAGTCAAAGCTCTTTTTGTACGCACCCCTTGGCTTCAGTTCGTTTGCAAATTAAGTTTTCACTACTGCTTGAAGTAGTTGTGTTTTTTTTTCAAATCAACTTGTTCAGAGATGTTATGACACACTCCTGGAGCAGATGAGACTTGAACCCAGGTCTTCTGGCTGAGAGGTAAGGATATTACCATTACACCACAAGAGCCCAAGATGTAGCTGTGTAAGCAGTACTTTTAGATTACTGTCAGATTACTTTTTAAAAAGTATAGCAATCTTTCAACATTTCTTGCATTTTACACCAGTTCTTTTCTCATTTCAGTCCACAATCAAAAATACAAAGGGGGGACAAAAGTCTTTACACAGCTGCTGGTTCTGAGCCATTACAGAATTTAGTCTCGAACATCCATAATTGTGCAAACCTGTGGTTAAGGCACTTATTTTACTCCTTTCAGGACTCTGCTTGTTCTGCCTGGTCAACCGTTTGAACAGATGAAGGGAATTGTCATTAACGAAACTTAAATCTAAGTGACTTCCCTTTACTAGTCTTCCAATTCCATATTCTGTGTCCTTTTTCAGAACAAGTGAAACCATCATGTAGTTCTTTTTGCTTTAAAGTACAGCCAGGACAGGATCCGGCAAAATGATTGATTATACCTAATTTCTGTAATGGTCTCTCCACAAAATTGTAACACAGGGCTGGTTAATTCAATGTAAATCTGTTGCTCTGGGGTCTTGTTGGCTTCTGAAATGGGGAAATGATTCAGTTAATGCCTAGTATGTTAATGGTGCATGTATTGGTTCCATGTTTAGTGTCACTGTATAAATAATTTTCATTGTAAAGTATTCACAGTTCTTATTCTGGAGCTTGGTATCAACTGTGGAATACTCATGCATGAGGAGGAGTGAACAGAGCAGCTACGCAAATGGTATGTGACTATCAGACTGTCTGCCTCCCTCCAGTTGCAAGCAGACGTTAGTTGAACATCCTGGATCTCCCTCCTTTGCCGATTTTCTGTTTTTAGCAGAATGCCCATGGTTTGGTCGTTCATCAAAAGTTTTTATGCTTCAATGTTAACCATGCAACGCACAGTACTACTAAATTTATTACTGCTTTCTGTTAAAATGACAAAAGTTAATTGTTGTTGCTGAAGGACATTTGTAAATGTCATGAATGAATTCTTTTATCTACATTTTTAAAAAAAAAATATGCTATTTATCCCTCTTCAGTTGCCTTTTTACCATTTTCTGTGATTTTTGCGAAATCATCATTGTTACAAGTGCTGAAGGAGGTTGTATGTGGCCCAAACACACTCGTTTGATGGTAATGCTGGACAAGTCAGATCACAGCATTAAATATGGCTTTGTAGATCATGTGTTTTAATTTTTGCAATTGTCTATTTGAGGTGGTTAGTCATTAAAACATTCGTAAGAGATTGCAGATGTTATTTAACAAAGAATATAAGTTTATTATACAAAAGAGAAAAATCAAACAAAGCTATCATATAAGACAAAGATTGCAATGCAAATACCAAAACAAAGGTTCAACCTCTTTCCCCAGCCAAATGTCAAGATAATTTTTTTTCCGGCGATCTTGACTTTCCCCATGTCTACAGTGCAAGAAAATGACAGAGTTTTGTGAACTTGAATATCATGGCAGACTGTAAGAGCTTCTTTTTAAATATATAAAAAGGTGAGAAGCCAAAATAAATATAGGCTGGAGAAAGTAATAATGGGGAACCAGGAAATCATAGAGCAGTTTAATAAATTCATTGTAGTCTTCACTATTGAAGACACTAATAATTTTGGAACAAAATTACTAAATAATCAAGGGGCAAAAAGAGGAGAGGAAATGATTATAATAACTCACTAGAGAAAAAGTGCTGGTGAACTAAAGGGGCTAAAGACTGATGAGTTCCCTGGACCTAATGGTATGTGTTGTAGGATATTAAGGGAAGTAGCTACAGAGATAGTGGAAGCACTGGTATTAATCTTCCCAGAATCCTTAGTATCTGCAAAAGTTCCAGAAGTTGGAACAAAAAACTATCAAAGTAATACCTTTATGTAAAAAGGGCTGCAGACAAAAATCTCAACTATAGGCCAAGTAGGTTATCATCTGCTATTTTTAGTGGAATACAAAGAGTGTCTAATTGTAAAGGATATATTGGCAGAGCATTTAGACATAGAGGTGTTGGTGAGAATCCTGGGAGAGGTTGCCACAACTAATGAGGGGATTGCAAAAGGCCAGGTGTTAAAGAACAGCAGTGTTTCTCTCCCTCCCTCTTTGAACTAAAAAGCGAGACAGAGGCTAATAGAAAATTGTTTGCAGCTTAGAAACAGCAGAACCTCGGCACTGAGTCATCTTGACCAGTAAATATGGTAAAGACTCTGGGAAAGCTTGTGATGTGTGAGGCATGTAAATTGTGGGAGGCTTTGGATCCACAAGACATCCAGGACAATTACATCTGCCTGAAGTGCCCGAGGGTAAGAATCTTTGAACAACGTTTGGCTGATTTGAGTAGTGACTGTTCTTGCTACACGCCATACAAGAAAGAAAGAGGTTTATGGATCAGTCATATGAGAGAGCAGTCACTACACAACATGATAGGCAGGCAAGGAGGAATGCAGAATAAAAACAGAAAGAACTGCAGATGCTGTAAATCAGGAACAAAACAAAGTTGCTGGAAAAAGTTCAGCAGGTCCAGCAATATCTGTGAAGAGAAAAAAAAAAATCTGTTAATGTCTCTGGTCTGGTGACCCTTCCTTGGAACAAGGAAGGGTTACCAGACCTGAAATGTTAACTCTGATTTTTTTTTCTTCACGGATGCTGCCAGACCTGCTGAGCTTTTCCGGCAACTTCTCTTTTAGTAAGGAGGTGTGCAGAGTTGGTGGGTGAGCATTTGCTGAAAAGAAAAGAGACAGCAGGTCCAGGAAGCCCAGGACTCCTTGAAACTGTGTAACAGGTATGAAAGTTTAGGTGCCTAGTTAGTGAGCAACATGCCTATTTTGGTGGTGGATGACTTGAAGGAAAACCACAGCAGCTTGTGGTTACTATGGAAAAAGAGAGAGAGAGAGAGGGAGGCTGGTAGGCAGGTTAGTAAGGTAATAGTAGCGAGTGACTCAGTAGTTTGAAGGATAGACAGTCTAGTTTGCAGCCGAGATCGTGAGCCCATGTGATTTGTTGCCTCTGGGTGCAAGGGTTCAAGACCTATTGGAATGACTGGATACACTTCTGGAAAGGGAGGCAGAATAACCAGTGACAGTGGTTCATGTGGGAACCAACATAGGGAGGGACAGCTTGGAGGTCTTGCAGGATCAGTTTCAAAAGTTAGGGAGTAGATTTGAAATGCATTAATCTCAGAAATACTACCTGTGCCACAAGCCTCACCAAAGGCAGATCAGGGAGGTAAACGTGTGGCTTGAGGGTTAGTGTAAAAAGGAGAGGGGTTTAGATTTTTGGGAACATTGAACAGCTTTCTCTTTTCCCAAAAAATAATCCAAAGAGATATGCTTCCCTGAGTAGAAAAGGAGCTATTTTCCTGGCTCAGAGTAAATAGTGTAATGGTGTGGATTTAAACTTGTAAGGGGGTGTGGGGATGGTAGGTTGAAAAATGGGCCCAGTTGTGGAAATAGCAGAGGGCAGCCCAGTGGATCAGTGGTTACCACTGCAGCTTCACCGCACCAGGGACCTGGGTTCGATTCCACCAGTCTGTGTGGAGTTTGCACATTCTCCCCATGTCTGCGTGGGTTTCCTCCCACAGTCCAAAGATGTGCAGGCTACGTGGATTGGCCATGCTAAATTGCCTGTAGTGCTAAGGGATTTGTAGATTAGGTGGGTTATAGGGGGATGGGTCTGGATAGGACGCTGAGAGGGTCAGTGTGGACTTGTTGGGCCGAAGGGCCTATTTCCACACTGTCGGGATTCTATGACAAAAGAGAGAAGATAGTGAGGGAAAGCTTGAGTGTTGGCAGTGAACAAAGAAATGATCACCTAATGGGCAAGAGAGAGGTAAGGGTGCAATTAAATTGTATGTATGTAAATGTGGGAGTACAGTGAACAAAATTGAGGAACTTGAAACAGAAACTGCTCGGGGTGGGGGTGGGCAGTGGTGGTGTATATGACATAGTAGCATTGACAGAAATGTGGCTTAAGCCACAATAGAACTGGTTACTTAATATTCTGGGTTATAAGGATCTTTGTAGAAACAGGGAGGGTAAAAGGGGAGGAGGTGTAGCACTCTTGGTTAAAGATAGTATCATTACCCTTGAAAAAGATACAGTTCCTGAATTGGAATCTATATTGGTGGAGGTGAGAAACAGAAAGGGAGCTGTGGCCTTGTTGAGTATTTATTGTGGACCTCCAAATAATGGGTAGGAAGTAGAAGAGAGCCTAGGAAAAAGGTAGGGCAAGTGGAGAATGTCAGAATGGGAGAGCATTTGGAAAGTAGTGATCGTAACATAAGGTTCAATATTAAGTTGAAAAAGGATACAAATCTATCACAGATTGGAAAAGGGCAGATTTCAGGGGTCTAAAAGTTGAACTGGAGCAAATTGATTGGAAACACAATTTTGGTGATAAAATAGTGGATGAAAAGTGGGAGAATGTTAAAAGGGAGACGAATAGTGTGCCAGCTAGTTACTTACCCATGAGAAATAAATACAGGGTATCCAAAAGCAAGAGTATTCCTTTTTTGACTAAGGATGTTAATGAGAAAATAAGAAAGAGAAAGGAAGCATATGATGCATAATGGAATAATAGCAATAGAAATCAGGAAGAGTATCTCAAATTCAGAAGAGAGGCTAAGGCTGGAATAAGGAAAGCTAAGAGGACGCATGAAGAAAGAACACTGGCTGCACTGAAATGTTCTTCAAACATACCAATAGTGAAAGATTAGCAAAGGACAGAGTGGAGCCTATAAGGAACCAGTAGGGCAAGCTGCCTACAGAAGCAAAGGCTGTGGCAGAGGCTCTAAAGGAATACTTTATTTCTGTCATTACCGACTTCGAGGATAGTGACAATAGCCTAGTTGAAAATGTGGGTGTTGAGTGACTGAGCAATATAGTGATAGATAAAGAAGGGACTAAAATGTTTGGCAGCACTCCATGTAGAGAAGTTGCCAGGCCCAGATGGGATGAATCCTAGATTGCTGAAAGAGTTAAAGGAGCAAATTGTGGAGTTGTTGGCAGAAATTTTCCAGGCCCTTCTGAACACAGGATCAGTCCCGGGGGACTGGAGAATTGCAAATGTGACAGCATCGTTTAAACTGATGGAGGCCATTTACAGGATAAAGTAACTATACACTTAGAGAAAAATAAGTTAATACTAGACAGTCAGCATAGCTTTGTCAAGGACAGGTCATTTTGACAACTTTGAGTTCTTCGAAGGGGTGATACAGGCAGTGGATGAGGGCAGTGCTGTGGATGTTGTATATTTGAACTCGGAGAGAATTTGATATGATGCCACATGGCAGGTTTATAAGCAAATTAGAAATGTTTGGGATTAATATTCCTTGGCAGTATAGATTAGACATTGGCTAAAAGATAGGAAACAGAGGGTAGTTATGGATGGGCATTTCTCAGATTGAAAACTAGTTGAAAATGGTGTTTTCCAGAGATTGGTGTTGGGACCTTTGCTTTTTCTGATTTATATAAGTGATTTACATTTGATGTTAAGGTCCTGGGGAGTGTTGCCGAACAAAGAGACTTGAGTGCAGGTTATTAGTTCCTTGAAAATGGAGTCGCAGGTAGACAGGATATTGAAGAAGGTGCTTGGTACGCTTGCCTTTATTGGTCAGTGCATTGAGTATAGGGGTTGGTGGTCATGTTGAGGCTGTACTGTACTGCATTCAATTCTAGTCTCCCTGCTTAAAAAAAAAAAATTGTAAAACTCAAAAGGATTCAGAAAAGACTTACAAGGATGTTGCCAGGATTGGAGGGTTTGAGTTACAGGGAGAGGCAGAATAGGCTGGGGCTATTTTCCCAGGTGTGTCGGAGGCTGAGGGGTGATCTTCTAGAAGCTTATGAAATCATGAGTGGCATGGATAGGCAAAAGATCTTGGCTATTTACCTGAGATAGGGGAGTCGAAAACTAGAAGGCATAGGCGAGAAGGAAAAGATTTAAAAGGAAATTAAGGGGCAACTTTTTCACGCAGAGAATGGTGCATAAATGGAACAAGCTGCCCGAAGAAGTGATAAAGGCTGGTACAATTACAACATTTAAAAGGCATATGGATAGGTATGTGGGTAGGAAAAGTTTGAAGAGTCACGGACCAAATGCTGGCAAACAGGACTAGATTATAGGATATATGGTTGGCATGGATGAGTTGGACTGAGGGATCAGTTTCCATGCTGTACATCTCTATGACTCTGACGCTATAATTTTGAGGGAAAAATATCTAAACTTGCAGATAACACTAAACTAGGGAGAATAGTGAACTGGGA